TTTGAAAAAATAAACGTAACATTTTGCCATAATTACTGTTACTGCTACAGACGTTATAAAGTCACCAACAAAGTTTTTAAATAATGTTTTCGAGACAATTTGTTTCCTTTTCTATATTAACTGCGCATGCGTATTTATCCCAGTTTCGAAAATATAGCCAATTAAATGCCAACACTATTATCACGTTGCAAAATCAAAAATTCATATATTACACGTGCTGGTCGATAATTCATATGAATCGAACTCAATCTGACACATTTCTAAATTAAAGCTATATTAATAATGAATATGTATGCATTGCAATTATCTATTTGTATATTAAAACCTGGCCTTCAGAGAGTTTGGTCAATGTTAATATAATAATAATAATACAAAAGCGTTGAAACATAGTTTACCTATAAATGAACCGATTTTGGGAAACATTATATGGTCCGTGATCGGAACAAAGCCCCTCGTGTTTAGTTGGAACGCAGTCCACATTACCTGTGCTTGAAACACAGTATATTTATATGTGACCTGATTATGGAACACTGCCACTCTATATTTGGAATGTGGGCGGAACACAGTCCCTTTAGATATGGCCCGTGGCTTGAACACAGGATTTCTATATATGTAACACAAACCCATGTGGCCTGTGGTTGGAATACAGCCCTACATACGGTAAATGACTTGAACACAGTCGCTTTATAGATATCTCGGGCATGGTACACAGTCCTTTTATAATTGGCATGTTGTTGAAACTCTCTATTGATGCCCGTGGTTGGAACAGCTTTTCTATGAGCCATGATTGTATACACTCCCCCTATAGATGTTCAATGCTTCGAACACAAATAGTTAGCCCATGGTTGTGATACAGTCCTTCTATAGTTGGCCCATGTTTCGAACAAAATATAGTTGGTCCATGGTTGGGACACAGTCCCTCTATAGTTGGCCCATGGTTGACAAGCAGTGTATATGGCTGTGGCTGAAGCACAGACTTTTTATAGACACTCCGTTGTTGGAACGCCGTTTATTTGTAAATGCCCGTGATAATTAGAACACACTACATAAGGTTCTTTGTACGCGCGCAGTTTGCTGTGTACGTCATAACATTCCAATTTATAATTATATAGCATTGGGAAAAGTTCCCCTAGCTGAGTGCTTCGATTTTCACTAAGATCCAACTCACAATTAATACCAGTTGTAGTGTGAAACCTTTATTTAGTATAATTGAAGCTCCGGTGTGATCGATGGATTGGCAAACAAACGTGAAATATTCTCGGATAATGGCTGTCGAAGGGTCCAGAGTTTAAACAACTTATTATTTTACATAGAATAACCTAGTGTATTCGTAAAATGAAAATGACAGTGAGTTACAGCAGTAACTTCCTACGTAACCATGGTGTGGATAGTTTCATGTTGGAATTTACTCCTCTATGATGAATGTTTATTTCTTCCTGTGTTTTGTTTTCAGTTGGACTCTATTTATATAAGGTATTCTACAGAGACGTAGGCATATCATCTACATGGTCCTCATTTTAGTGCAATTACTCAATAGGCAAAAAGTTTACTATTCCCTATAACATATAATGCAAATGAAATATCAATCCGTATTTTGAACGCAACTCACTTTGACCTTGCAAATTTTAATTAAAACAATAATTATATCTTAATTCATCGGCTCTGCATATGTATAGACGATGTTGTAATACCCACTTTGTCTAAATCTGTATGGGGGAAATCTGACATGCACTGAGTTAAGAACAGAAGCAGCACATGCCGACCAACAGTGTTATCCAGTCATTTTAACTGATGAGTCGACCGCAGACTACATCGTTGTTTGCTTTTTTCTAATTTATTATCTTTAGTAGCAGTGACTTGAAATTTGTTAAAATACATATTTGTTCTAAAAATACGTCTTGAGCAGGAAGCATGGAAGCTGCATTTGTTGCTTTGTGGTGAGCTAAGCGTGAACCCTGTGAAGTCATACATGTGATGGCATCAATTTCCGTTATGATCGTGTCTGACATGCAATCTACAATCTAGTGTGAAAGTTGTAAGTGTATGTAAATGTACTTATAGCTTAACAGGCACTGGGTGTATGACGAACATATCACAGGCACATCTTCAAGATAAACATGAAATACAGTAAATTTAAAACAGTATCTGTTTTATTAATATCAAAATACACCGGGTAAATAATATCACATTTTATATTAAAGAATTATTTCATTTTGTTTGGATTAATATATTTATGAATGTCAGAGCTAACGTCACTGCACAAAACGTATTTACCATCAAACACTTAATGCACCGTCATGTGCAAACAGCAAACCGAAACCGACAAGCAACGGTGTATGTGTATTTAGCTGGGTCTGTGCAATATGCGCATCGTGCTGTGATCAATGTGTATTTCCCACCAAGGCTTTGAAGAGCCTAAGCCCCCCACTGGGCCCCACTAGAAAGGATATTAATCTCGTTTCCAGTCATGTTCTTTTTATTCTAATAGATAAATGAAGGAAAACATGCCTGGTTTATGCGTTTTTTGACGTCATTTTTCTAATATATTGTAAATTTTCAAATAGGTTTAATAATACCGAATTCATGTGATGTTATTACAAAGATTCACTGGTCTCGCGTATCAAGGTAGAGCTAGAGTGATTCAGTAGTCTCAAGTTTCAGCTCTACAGCCTGCGTGATTCGCTTCTTGTCAATAAGGTAAAGCTAGCGTGATTCGGTGGTTCCGAGTTTCAGTCCTATAGCTTGCGTGATTCGGTTGCCGTCTATAATGTAGAGCTGGTACGATTTACTGGTTCCGTCTGAAAGGTAACTCTGCCGTGATTCACGGTACCACGGTGGAGCTGACGTGATTCAATAGTCTCGTCTATAAGCTAGGACTAGTGTCACTCATCGGTCTCGCGTGAAATTTCGTGGTAAAAGAGAGTAAATTGTACAGCGAATACCGAAAATAAGTGACTTAAAAATCCCCCGCAAATATGACAAATGATATCTTCCGAGCTGATAAATGTCACATTCCATTGCTTTGTTTTTGGTTTGGCGACTTGCCGGTGAATTTGTGGGCGGTGAATCTCCCGCCGACCTGATCACCACGCGGATTTTATCTTATGAGTCGGGCATGTAAGCCAATATCTATGACGAAGTCGATGTTACGTTGAAAAGGAAGGCTTTGAAAAAAAAAGCAGTAGCGGTAGTTATTTTCAAACCAAGTGGGTATCTTCCCGCCAAAAAAATATTAACTAGCACTTTACGTAGTCACGTGGTTTAAATAAGTACCCTCGAGTTCCACTCAATTATTATTACGAATTTTACAAACATTATATGGATTGCACACTATTACATTATAACGTGGAGTATATGCAGCTGTTGCCAGTTTCAGCTGCTTGTTGTTATTTGAATCGTTGTAAATGAGTTTCCCCATAAGATTTTAAACATGGCACAAGCAGCAGATAGCGGAATAATGCACTGGGGATTGCAGCTACACGAGTAAATGGTATCTTATCACCTCGAGCAGCTGCTTGGTAGAATTAAACTACACAAGTAACAAACAAATCAGTTTCCGCATTTCAAGAGGACCACCTTCAATGTTTTAACTGTCAGCTAATTTTCTGATTTTCGTTGAAAGCCATGTACAATTAATCAAATCACGGTTACTTCTTCTAGTAACCGTGATCGAATGTAAAACGTGTGCTTTAAGTGTGATCATATTAGGGTCCATATACGTAATGCACATTGACGTTGGCCATGGTTTCCGCGATAATTACAGTGCATTCTCTATCATACAATATATGCAGAGAAACAGAGAACAATTTGAATATATATTGCACACTTTTATTCATGCCAATTGATGCTCTACGTCAACTACATTTTTTTTTCATTTACTTATATTGCAACCACGTAACATCGATGGTTTGGAACCGAACTGTCCAAACCTTAATATTCCAAACATGAAAGCGAACACCGATATAGATTAGTATAGATTTCTAAAGACAGCATTCTAAACCTTCTAAGATTCTGTGTTGACGTATTAAGGAATTAATAGAATATAGGCTCGATTCAATTAAGCGTACAATGCAGCCCACAACGCACAGTTTACTCTCAGCAGACCCACACATCAGTCGATAGCCGGTAAAGACGTTGCGAATACTATGTAGGAGATTTTTTTTTAATTTTCAAAAAAGTGCTATGTTGTGCAAATCCCACCTCGCCATTATGTTAGCTTGTCAATCCCGCTATGTAAGGTCCGCTTCATACTGTGTACGTATGCATTGTATGGTTATTGGACACGCGCGAAGCTATTACCGACGTGACAATCCACTGTTTCTTTCAAAATTTTTCTGACCCGTCGATAATTCAGTCCAACGAGAATTGCTTTCGGTGTGCTTTCATCAAGGTGTTATTACTCAAAAAAACTTTCTGGTCAAACATAAACTGTAAATCAGTTCCAGACACCCACAGTAGTCGGCAATTAGAAGCGCCCTGTATTTGTGAAAGGCAAGTCACGTGGGTAGTGCACACAGGGGAAATAACACGCTGAATGAAGATGTGGATTAGTGATGAGTAATCACTTTTATGTACAAGAGTTCTCTAAATGACGTTCGATTGACGTGAATCCGAGTTCCAACAAATCTGCACAGGCACAATAACACAAGAGCACTATGAATACAGGGAGGACAAGGGTGAACTTGATTCGATCAGCAAGGCATTATACATACTGTCTTACACGCTAAGAGTGTACTCAATTGAGCAAAGACCGCAATTCAACGACCAGTACAAATATGAAAATGACGAGCAATCAAGTTGATATTGTTGAGAAGATATAAAGTTGTATGTGGCGGGAGTCGCAGTGTCAGTCGACAAATATTCCATGCGTCCTATACCAAATCTCCAGTCATTGGTGTGGCGTGGTCATATAGTGTCATAGAGTGTTTCTTTTCCTTCGCATCAGTAATGAATTGTCCTAGGATATATTATAGTCTCTAAAAGATTTTCTAACCCGATATCTACAAAGACGTCTTCGTTGGCGCAGTTGTCACCGTTGAGTTTTCTTGGTATTTCTGCGACGATGCCGGAGATTTCACATTGAATGCTAGAAAAATGAACGGATTAACGACGCAGTGCGATACTGAAAATATACCCAATACTGCTACTGCGTTTCTGTCCAGGCTTCTAGAGTCGCCGTAAAATCGATACATGTCTAGGGCGAAATAAGGAAGCCCGCATATGACGAAGAACGAAATGATTACAAATGTCATTTTTAAGGTTTTCATCTTCGCTTTACGGCGACGCTCACTCTTACCTGGAAGTACAGTGTTCCTCTTTTCCCAAAGCCGGACAATGATTCGGAGATAACAAAGCGTGATGATTACAAAAGGAATGAAGAAAACGATCATTCCTACCCAGGTTAAATAAGCCTGCTTCTCCCATTTCTTCTGTAGCGAGGTGTGGCATCCTTTGTTGCCGTTAGCGTCGTTTACAAGATGCCACACAAAAGCTTGGGGAATGGAGAAGACGAACGCTATAACCCACGATGGTACAATGATGGTATTTACGTTCTTTCGTTGTTGGAAAGGATAAATGACAGAGTGATAGCGATCGACAGCAATGGCGACTACCATATTGGAAGATGCAAAGAGAGCAAAACATTGCACTATTTTGAATAGGCGGCAACCAACATCCCCCATCAACCAGTTCAGTTCCAGCAATTCAACGATGAACTGCGTAAGCAGCGCCAGGATCGCTACCAACAAGTCGGCCGTACATAGATGCATCATGAAACTATTGATGCGATTTCGCGACCGACGGTTGAACCACATCCACACGAATACAGCTATATTACCAATTAGCGAGAAAATGAACATAACGGCGAGGATGATGAGACGAAGTTGCCGGTTGTAGTCAATACCAATATAGTCGTCGTTATTCGCACTGGCGTTCGCACTCATGTTGGACATATTCATCATAACTGCATATGCGTTGGTTGAATGCAGAGTGTAACGTCAAGCGTAGAAATAGTTCATATGGGTTCTCATGCAGTACGGACACTAGTATAGTGTCAATCTAAAGTATTACGATGTGTTTTCTCTTACCATTAAGCACGGTTCACTTCTTAGCAGGCTGGGCACTGGTTGCACCTTTCGTTTATACCAAAACAGACTCTCGCATTTCACCACTATCCGTGGACGACTGGTGATACTCTCATAACACTGATCGAATGAACATCATATGGTTAGCACATACACATTGTACCTGTTACCAGTTCGTAGAGAGAGTATTATGACATACGCACGCACCGGCTCTTTTATACCGATATAACTCGCATTCTGATTCGTCTAGCCGAACATAATAAATGAACGGGTCGTGTGAATATATCGTAGACTTTAATGTATTTGTTATACACCTGGGGACACATTGCGCCTTTTTACAGCTGAGGCAGTATGCGCATGCGTTGCTTGTTTCCATGGACGTTGTCGGCGATATGTTGAAACGCTGTCATGTCACTAAAGGCATGCTGATGAGCGGGTTGCTCAGTGCTGTTCAATGGATTCACCATAACGAACATGTATATTTACATAGTGATATTTTATGATTAGACTAAACAAGATCTGTTCCTGGTTCTGAAATGTTCAATGAGTATTTGTTTTTTGTTATTTTGCATAATTTTTCAGTTTAAAAAATTTTCTTCAAATGAGGCGTGTGCTGACCAGACATAAGGTATTTGTGTGGTTGTTACGTGCATTCTGTCTGAATAATTACGTAATACGAATAGCGACGAGACGAATACAGCTTGATATATGATCGATTTTCTTTCAAATGATGCAATCGTAATTACATCGGTACAACCTGCCCATTGTACAGAAAAGCCCAACTCAGCTGTCGACCTCTGAATATGCGTCGACAATACCTAACATTAATAAACTTGAATATATGTAAAAGATAAAAGCAGAATGCCAGCATGACAGTATGTAATGGCAGGTTCATTTCAATTTCACATTGTTCAGAAACGACGCAACTTCAGCAAATTTCCTGCCCACCGCTGTGACACAAATCAAAGTAAATTGCCCGTCTGAGCAAAATTCCAAAGATAATGTTTGACCTCTGATTTTATACTAACACGCCAAAGCATCTATCATCAGCTTGTTTGAGTCAATTCTATATTATAAATACTAATCGCGAACGCATTTTTTCTGACCATATTACGTACCATATTACATTTTGCTACGAGTGGCACCTACATTTCAAAAAGCCTTCGTGGTTTCCGTTTCAAAAGCGCGTCCTCGTAAGTCCTTCTTTCCGTTCAATAACCGAGTTAATTCTTCACACCGGTTATAAGTGAGAGTGGCCTTGATTCGATTATTTGACTACAAAATTGAATTCTGAGTAGTGCCATCAGTACTAATCAGAGCTGCATCATACAACGCAGTGGATGGATAAATAACATATACATTTATTCTACAAAAAATATCCTCTTTACTCGACGCAATGAAAAGTAAACTCGTTAGTCTTTTTTTTTTACAACTGAGCGAGCGAGTGCACATAACCCCGAACTTTCTAAACATTTATCAAACTTTAAGACTGCCTATCTATATTGATGCCAAATAGAGGTCATTTCAGAAATATAGTCATGTGTGAATACTAATATGCAGTTTAGCTCTTTGAAATGGCGATGCATTCATTGGAATTGATGTATCGCGCACTTCCCTCGTTACTGTCAGAGACACGTTCAAGTCCTAAGACCCTATTAAGATTAAAGTGAATGCATCCGTTTTCTTTAAGATGAAACACGTACGTGCACACGATTGTTTATCGCGATTTTATAGATCTCAGAGGTTTCATATAGATAAATACGGACACATCCAATTGCCACACGGATGATAAAGCCGAGTGTTTTCGTGCAAGTAATACCGCCTGATTTGTTTAAAAAAACATCGTTATCCCTTTCTGCCTCTCCTAATGGATGATCATTACAAATGTTTTTTATCGCTCTTAAATCGCTTTGCTACTTTTTGTGATCGTAACAGCAGCAACAATAGCTGAATGATTGATTGCGACACTTTGGTGATACCTTCCATTTACAAGAGACTACGAGCAGAGAGTAACAATCCTTAGGCTGTTTATCAGCAGTTACTACAGGACTTCATTTTCCTCCAAGTGACCACGGGGCAGGGTTTCATATAATAAAGTACAGAGAAACTGTCGTCAGCTCATATAATTTAGTGGTGTATTTCTGATGAAAGCTTCCGGCTAAAACCTTCCAATGCAATGTGACGTTACATTGGATGCATTTGCCGGTTGATTGTTTCCTAATTGACTTTTCACATGCAGGCAATGCCGAGTACTCAATCCACTTCCAAGACGATTATGTCATTTTATTCTTTGTATTAGCTAAATATAGACGTCATGACATAGTAAATGTCGAATATATGCTATCATGCTATATACAAGTTCAGTAATTAATAGAATCTAAAATTAATTAAATTGTAATGAATTTTTGTCGACATTGTATGGGGTAGATGGATGAAAAAATGACCCAACTAGTATTACAATGAAGTACGTGACAATTTGTGTTTACAGGTAATATTTCCTATGGCTTCAGGTACAGTGATGGATTCTACGCATCATCGGTACCGACAGCTTATTTCGAGCCTTTCTTCCACTCCTCAATTTTAAATGCGTTGAATATTATTCGCAGCGCTCGTTTCTGTAAAAGTTAATATGATTAACGGTCATAACAGTAACACCGCAGTAATATTCGTGTAACGTCACATGACTCGACAACGTAAATATGAACTCCTAATCTTTATACAGACAGCGATGAGCCGAAGCGTTACTTGCCAATAAGCTGTATAATGATTATCTGTTTCCATTTGAATTCCCCACGTTCGATTCAATGGAAATTCACAACTGATAGTGTGTAATATCTGGCTTATGCCGCGGTGCACGCGACAGCGGGATTACCTACACACGAATGTTACATACGTGCGCAACAGTAAAGTTTATTTATGGAAATAATTCTATCTTTGTGGGGTTCCTATCTAATCTTTGTCGGTAACACAGTAAGAAGTCTGTTTGCTATAAATTATCAGGCAGTCATTATCCATTATTTGGCTTGTCATGATGTATTAAGGAATTTCTTTGGAGGTTCTAATTTCATATTGCAAATTGAGCAGCCAGCTACCGTATATAATACAATGACGGAGATTCACTACAGCATAGTCGAAACGCGCTATGAGATCTTCAGGACGAAGAGTGTGTTTAATCAAAGGCAAATCCATAAAGTATATCTTGAAAAGAAATTTGCGTAACCCTTGAGGCGCCTAGTGATATTGATATTGTAGCGTTATCCGCATGACACATTGTTCAAGCGCTCCCCTGGCTGCCGAGCACGAAGCAGTGACATGGCCTTTGAACGGCTTGTGTCAAAATACCTTGGAAAATGTACGGATATTTATTTCTTCTAAGGTTGATGATGCCAAGTAATGTAGTATTTATCAGTCTTTTTTTAATCTTGAATCACTGACACACAGTTCACAATTAACAGCGAATATCCTCGCGACATAGGTAATCCGGTCGAGCAGCTTTCATCTCACTGCCGCCTCGACCAGTTAAATAAGAAAGATTACAGTAAAAATCAAAAGAAGCTTAAAGCAAGTAATTACCATATCTTCTAATATAATGCCAAGGAGCAAATACAAGTAGCCATTCTTAGATGCACATGTGTATCTTGATGGCATTACGCTTCAATTCATCCTTTTGATTGATTTTGTTTCACAGCTTTGTAACAAGGGAATACCTTCCCTATTAAACGAAGTAACAATCAGTTGGGATGAATCACGTTGGTTGGCCGGCCGTATTGTTAATGGAATATGGGTTTCATCCGTCGATGACACTAATGTTTCTGTTTTCCAAGCATATAAACACCGTAATACATATATTGCATATATTTATAATTAATTGTCGTCGATTCGATGTTGTCGATTCCTTCATTCAGATCTTATACAAAACGTGACAAGTGTATAATTTGCTAGAGTGCTCCATATCTCTTTTTAACTGTTTGTAATATGTGCCCAGCCCATTTAGTGATACATCACATACATTGGTGGCGATATGACATACGAGTACAGTGAATTATGACAATGTAGGACAATGTGATGTTGGTAGTTATAATATATAGCATTACAGTGTATCAACCTGGAGAACGTGTGTGGATAGCTATAAAATATCGTTGGAGAATTGGTGATGGGAGAATGTTGTTAGAATAGCTATAATATACTGTTACAGTAAATCAGATGATGAATCTAATGATTTATTAGAGCATATCAGCAGGGAGAGTGTTATTAGAATAACTATAATGTACCGTAAGAACATGTCATGGCAGAATGTTGTTATAATATCCATATTATAATATTTGTAGATATCAGACATTACAAGGTTTTTAAGAATAGATATAATCTATCTGATTGGAGTGTGTCAGAATTGATAATGTACAATATTATCAGATTGGACAATATTGTTATGTTATTAAACATATCAGGTAGGCGAGTGATATTATAAAAGTTACAATACACCAATTGTATATTAATAGAGAATAAAGAAAAATGCTGTTTAGTGTTAGTAACGTTTAGTATATCAGGGAAATGTTTATATAACTTTAATATATTATTATTATTATTATTATTATTATTATTATTATTATAATTCAGGCGACATAACGTTATTAGAATACTTAAAATATATTATTAGAGTATATCACTCAAGTTGTTAGATTAGCTATACTATGTTATTATATAAAATTTGAGAATGTTGTTGGAATACCTATACTGTACCATTATATCGAATAACAGAATGTTGCTAAATTGCTGTAATATATGATAAGAGTATATATTATATTTTCAAGTATATCATGACCGAATGAATAGATGTATTATATTATAGTTTATCAGAT